TGCTCTCTTCTCTCTTTTATATATCAAAAGAGATTGGCTTAAGATACTATCTAATCTCGTAGACCTCGTCAGTATAACTGCCTCTAATCCATCTTGTTACATCATAGTGATAGAGATTACAACACATAAGGAAATCATATCAGATTACAAAATGGTACGCAATCATACAAGACTGGGAATCATGACCCAGCCAAGTTGACTGATATTTTGGGGGGACACAATTCCATCCATGACAGTGCCTGAAATACAGTATATGCTCAGTAAATGGATGACCTCTCTCTCCTACCACCTATCTAGCTCTGAATCCCTCACAGTACATAGCCCTGTGCTGGCCCATAGTGGTGTCTCAGTGCACACTTGTTGAGTAAATAAATCTGCTTACAATTGGGGGAACCGATCTCAGTGGCTCCTGAAGAAGCAGTCAGTGACATCAGTGACAGGATCTGGTTTGAGACAAAGAAGTATCAGTAGAGAAATCAGGAGAAACATACCCTAGAAACATACTGATCATTTACAGAACAAACCATCTGAGTATGGATCATTAGTTCTTGACTCCATGCAGGTGTCTAAGATTCTGATAAAAAGTTTACTACATTAATTTGCATGGCTCTGTGTGTGAATGTACAACGTATACAAATAGATATTACTTCACACCCCCAATAAGGTACATGTAATCACTAGATGAAACTGAAACTCCATTCTATCAAGAAAATAGTCCACCTTTTTGTTTGTAAATATAAAACAGGTCTGTCTAGGAACTTCCATTTTGCTGTAATTAATTAGTATACTGATAGAGCACCAATAAAAAATAAAAAAAAATATTTTTGATTGTTCTGAAGGTAGCAAGCACAGTAGAAAGAACACTGGTAGGGAGTTGAGAACATGTTTTCTATACCCTAGCACTGCTACTAACTGACACATGGATGATAACCACTGTTTTTCCAAGTGTATACGAGCCATTAAACAATGATATTTTAAATAAATTGTATTTTATTTTATTTCTTTATTGAACAGTTCCTGAAATATTTTTATATTTTTCTTATATTGATCATGAATTAAAAACCCATTCATTCTTACATTCATTCAGAAACTATTTACTGAGCACCTAGTACATAGCAGGGAAAAGGGATGGATGTACACTCTGCCTCATGGAGTGGCTGTGTAGGAGACTTCATGAGAATCATGCTGACCAGTTTTCAACAGCATCATCTCCTCACTTTCTGCTGTTCTCAGACCCTCACCTTCTCTCTTCCTGTCTCACCTCTAGATTCCTTCTAACCCACCCAATAGAAAGTCCCAGCCTTCTCAGTAAGACAATTCTTCCTATTTTAAACAATGCTTTGGAAACATAAATCTTCCCTCTCGTATTGGAAAGAGCACAGGATTTCAAGTCAGATCTGGTTCTGAGTAAGGGCTTGGAACTGTCCCAGCTCCACCTCTTATCAGCTAGATGAGCTGATCAGGGGCACATCCCCTCATCTCCGCTGTCAGCTTCAGTGTGCCTGGGAAGAATAGCATCTCCACGTCAGAGAGGGGCTGTGAGCATTAAATGAGATCGTGTGTGTAAAGTACTTAAAACAAACAAACAAACAAAAAAAACCCTACTGCCACTGAGTCGATTCTAACTCATAATGACCCTTTAGGACAGAGAAGAACTGCCCCATAGAGTTTCCAAGGAGGGCCTGGTGGATTCAAACTGCCAACCTTTTGTTTAGCAGCCATAGCTCTTAACCACTACGCCACCAGGGTTTCCAAAGTACTTAAGCACTCCATATATGATACTTATTATTATCATAATACAGATAAATTTGAGCAAATCACTTATCCTTGCTGAACCCTAGTGCCTTCGTCTTTAAAACAAAGTTATTAATAACAGACTTGTCTACCTCATAAGGTTGGTGTCAGACTCATTTGGATAATAGGTGTGAAAGAAATTTTATGTATTATAAAGAGCTATTCAGAGGGAAGCTATTGTTAGCATTCTCAATGGTACACTGAGCTGAAATCTTCTTTTAAAGAAGACTCAAAAGAAAAATGAAAAAAAGAGGGAAGACAGCCATGGTGTTGCCACTGCCTTTCTATGACATTTATAAGCAATCTGGAAACCATCCAACTCCACAAGTTGATTTGATTCTGCTTTGAATTGTGTAACTGCCGGTTGATGCATTCTAGCTTGCCCTTCTCTTCCTCAGCCCTTAGTTGACATGCCCAGATTCAATGGAGAAGACGCCTGGTTTGGAAAGGACTGGAGCCTCTCCATCTACGCTATCTGCAGCAGGGCCTCTGCTAGATTTCTTTGGGTCTCACCCTGGCAGGCTCCCTCTCTTTCCAAGAGTTTCAAATCCTCCCGTGGGAGAAATCTCAGCTCTCAAGAAGTGAGTCCAGAGTGTGAGCATTGTTCAATTGAATGTGGGAAATAAGCCTACCAGAGCTGACTCCAGTGCTTTGGCCCTGGGAGTTGTCAAGCTGTTGATTGCTTGAGGGAGATGCAATTATGGGCCATGGGAAAGACTCTTCCCTGGCAGGGCCTCTCTCCAATGGAAACGTGTTTCAAGAGGTAGGAGGAGGTGCTCAGTCTGTGGTGCATTCCTGAAAGCCAGGGAGAATGAGGCTCCTCATGCTTATTTACCCAGTGTCATGGATTGAGTTGTGTCCCTCAAAAATATCTGTCAATTTGGCTAGGTCATAATTCCCAGTATTGCATGATTGTCTACCATTATGTCATCTGGTATGATTTCCCTATGTGTTGTAAATCCTGTCACTATGATGTAATAAAATGGATTAGTGGCAGTTATATTGATGAGATCTACAAGATTAGATAGTGTTTTAAGCCAATCTCTTCTGAGATATAAAAGAGAGAAGCAAGCAGACAGACATGGGGACCTCATACCACTGAGAAAGCAGCGCCAGGAGCAGAGGGCATCCTTTGGATCTGAGGTTCTTGTGCTGAGATGCTCCCAGACCAAGGGAAGACTGATGACAAGGATCTTTCTCCAGAGCCAACAGAGACAGAAAGCCTTCCCCTGGAGTTGGCCCCCTGAATGCGGACTTCTAGCCTACTGCACTGTGAGAGAATAAACTTCTCTTTGTTAAAGCCATCCACTTATGGTATTTCTGTTATAGCAGCACTAGATGACCAAGACACCCAGCAACTGCCAAGATCAGAACCTATTGATTCCCAGAACATCAGACCAATCTTTTAGCCTCTTAGGTTCCAGGGTGAGTGGGATACACTTGCCTCATGAGTTGTACTGTATAAATGTAATAAAATATGTGAAGCACTCAGAACAATGGCACATAGTAAGAGCTTGCTACATATAAGCTCGCTGTATGAAACTGAAAGACTTTCTTGTCAATAAAATAGTCCACCATTTTGTTTGTAAATATAAAATATACCTGTCTAGGTACTTCCATTTTTCTACACCATATAATTTATCATCTACTATTATTTATCAGGACACTTTGGAGAGTGAAGGGGTACTGCCCAGACTGGGTGTTGGGACAACAAGCATAAGTGGGACTGTCACAAGCAAATCAGGATGTACGACACAGTAAGGATGTGATATTAGCTAATATCAGTCACAGGGTGGGATATGCAGACACAGTGGCTAAGAATTGGTTTGTTAGTGTACCTGGGACTGGCTTCCCATGTCACCAGAGTGTCTGAGCCCTGCCTGAGGCATGGAAGGGTGTGGGTGTCCTCACTGTCCTTCCTGGCCCTGTAACAGCAGTGGGAAGAACAGTTCCCAAGTGTGGGTTTGTTCTGTGGCTGCAGGGAAGTCATCCTGCAGTATCTGAGTTCTATCACAGGCATCCCAAACACCTGAAGTTGAGAGAGTCTTAGTGTCACAGGGTCCTTCCGTCCCCCATTGGTGTTCTGCCGAGAAAACCTATCCTTCTGTCCAGCCCATTCCCCAACAGATTGAGGTTAACCAGTTGCTGTCGAGTTGACTCAGACTTACGGTGACCCACTGTATGTCAAAGTAGAATAGTGCTCCATAGGGTTTTCAATGGCTTTTCTTCTGAAGTGCCTCTGGGTGAACTTGAACCACCAACTTCTTGGTTAACAAACAAGCACGTTAACCATTTGCACCACCCAAGAATTCTGATTGATGTTAGGGTGAGAAATAAATATTCCTTGATCCAGACATAGAATCTTTCCCAACCCCCTTGTCTTAGTCATCTAGTACTGCTTTAACAGAAATACCACAAGTGGATGGCTTTAACAAAGAAAAATTTATTTTCTCACAGTCTAGTAGGCTAGAAGTCCGATTTCAGGTTGTCAGCTCCAGGAGAACGCTTTCTCCGTCAGCTCTGGAGGAAGGTCCTTGTCATCAACCTTCCCCTGGACTAGGAGCTTCTCTACCCAGGAACCCTGAGTCCAAAGGACGTGCTGTGCTCCTGGCACTGCTTTCTTGGTGATATGAGGTCCCCAACTCTCTGCTTGCTTCCCTTTCCTTTTACCTCTTGTAAGATAAAAGATGGTGAAGGCCACACCCCAGGGAAACTCCTTTACATTGGATCAGGGTTGTGACCTGAGCAAGGGTGTTACATCCCACCCTAATCATCTTTAACTACAAGCAGAGATTATGATTTATAACACATAGGAAAACCACAAAATGGAGGACAACCATACAATACTGAGAATCATGGCCTAACCAAGTTGATGCATATTTTGGTGGGACACAGTTCAATCCATTACACCATTATATCCCAGTAAATTGGGAGGTTGATGTGGGGAGTGGGTGAAACACCCATCTTCATGTCTCCAAAACCACCTTCCATCATGGTCAGTTGGTGAAAGGGGAAGTGAAAGTAAACAGGTAAATCCTGGGGTCCGAGAGAGAAAAACAGTGCGTATCTTGAATCAAGAAGTTTCCTGCGAGATTTACATTGATCAGGGCCCTGGCTTCTACCCTCTCATATCTTCTTAACCCCTATGCACCCTCAGGGACCCAGCTCCCTACTTACCCTCCCTCACTCTCCAGAGGTTCCTGATTCTTCCTGAGAGGCAGATGGGCATTGGGCAGGGAGTAAAACAACCTAGATTCAAGGTCCAGCTCTACCAGGTATGAGCTGAACTATAATTTTGTGTTAGGATTGTTGTGAAGATATTTTTTTAATTAGGTTTATGAAAGCACATTTTAAACTGTAAAATGTTATCTAAATTTGAAGTAATTTTTTTTCCCAGAGAACTAACTGGGGAAATAGTCACTATCAAACCATGTCAGAGGGGGGAAGAGAGAGTTCAAAGATATCTTCACACTGAGGAAAATGTGGGAAGGTGGGAACGTGGACTTATGTGGAGGATGGCAAAGCCAAAAAAATGAGAGCCAACCAGCTGCAAGATGGCTGCCTGAGGTTGTGTTAGAATAGTATGATTCTTTGGTCAACTTGCAGCCTTCACGAGATTCTTGGTGCAAGTGGATTTTATTCCCCACCA